TCATTTCCACATAACTACTGCGGCATCGACGATGAGCCAATGTAAGGTCCAGATCGTCTCGGCCCTGCTCTCAGTCGACTCTGTATCAGTCATGTGCTAATGTGTCTACCCGATACAAGGCTCAGGCCACAATGGGCCTGTACTACCGTGCCTCGGCATTCGAACACCGCGAAAGGACAGCCTCCTTGTGGATCAAATTCCTGATGTCCAATGGGTGATCCTCATTATCCTCGATTCGAATCTCACGTCTTTTGATGCCTGGCAGCTTGACAGGCACCGGGGTGAGCTCATGTTTCAGTCTGACTCATGGCGGACGAGTCCTACTTTCGCCGACGAGCATGCTGTGAGTCTAAGTCTGCGTGCAAGGAGAAGGTGGGGTGGGACCCCATTATTTCGAGCCCACAGATGAACATTGGTCATATCAGTACGAATCGATAAAAGGAGACGGTATGGTGCCGAGTCATAGCCGAGTCAACTAGAGAGCACGAGCAAAGAGATGCCGTCCGATAGTTTCACCTGATCCTACTCCGCGTTGCTGAGCCGGTCGATGTATTCCAGCGGGTGGAGCTAACAAGCGGAAACGAACAAGTGAAAGTGAATCAACCGGACATGCATGACGCTGCATCAAGAGCACCTTCAGAACTGCTGTGGTGTCTTTGAATACACGCTGGCTGTATCTGATGCCTAAGCACGCGTTTTTCTATCCACGCCGAGTGACGTGCGCAAAGATTTTTTCCCCTGGATGTCATTGTATCTGCAGGTTGGTCAACCCGAGCACGTTTATCTCTTACTGAAATCGTCTTCTGACATATCGTGTGCAAGCGGTTTTCTCGGGGAATGGCTGAGCTCTCTACGTTCCCTACCTCGACTTTCCTTGAGCATTAATTATTTGTCAGACACCGCGCTTTGGACTGGTATATCACCGTTCAAGCAAATTCTTTGTGAAGGTGATTTGGATGCCTGCACAACTTTACTCAGAGCCATTCTCTGTGCGACCTCTGACTATCTATGACAGCCTATGCTAAAATTCCTACCCCTAATCAGTATTCAAATGATTGCTTTCGGCGGGGTTGGTTACGCGCATGTCTGCTGCGGCTCCAAGCCAAGTAGATCACATCACAAAAGTCCGTCGTAAATGTTGGCGGAGTCGTCCTTCCCAGATCTGGTCAAGATGGCGCTTGCTAGACCCGATCGCGCTGCAACCATGTTCTCTACACAGTTGAGTACACTTGATCGCACGAGCTCCGACACCACGCCCAGAAAGCAGTGGTCGCCAATTTGAGTGCGGTGTGGTTGCTACATAGGAGATGGGCTCGCAATATAATCGTAGTTGCGGTAACTGACCAAGGTGCGACGGCTCCCATGTAGAAGAAGCCAATCGGAAATTTTCGAGCCAAGCCCCTCAATTTCTTCGCCGTCTTTATTGGGAATCCAGTTTGACTCGCGGCCGTTATGGATGTAGGCATTCTACAGCAGAGTAGGAGTGAGTGGCTTGCAAGCCGCCTGAAGCGGCCAATTCGACTGCGAGGAACAGTCTATCGCATCACCATAATTACCTGAGCAACAAAACGCATTTCGAGCGCTCCTCATTCAATGCTTCATCTACACTTGGTAGGTCTGATCGTGGGTTTTTTGCCTAATTATAGCTTCATCGAGGGATATTGGTGTTTGCATTGGACCAGCTCAATCGAATTGGAGGCTGTGTGCGAACTTTACTGAGTAAACACCAGGGGACCATCGTAGCAAGTAAAGCCAAATGGTGCAGAATGAAACAATGAAACTGATATTTGTGTCATGTAGACTTCCGCACCGGCCCAAAAGCCCAAGGCCAGACCCGACCCCAACCTGCAGATGGGCTATGGGCCTAAGGTAGAAGCCCCCGGGCTTTCTTGGGGACCAATGGGCCGAAAACATTACAGACATGCCAATTCTTGGCATTTGCATAAGTAGTGTAGATTTTCCCAGTATCAATTATCTGTGGAAACGGACACTAATTGTGAGGAATTAGCTAGCTTTTGGTATAAAACTGAATTCTATAAACCTGAAAATGAGGGTTTCACAATTGAAAATGTCATACTTGAATAGGAAGATGCACCTACTTCTGCTTTTATGAGATATATACATTTATGTGCTGACGCTCACTAATCCTCTAAGTGCCAGAACAGTACAAAATCCTGGTCAAATTTGACTTTTTATTGGTAGCTCCTATGCAAACGGGTCTACAGTGTCGCCATTGTTTTCCATGACTTTTATTACCAGGTTGTTGCCGTTGAATCTTGATATCTTGCTTCTTGGAGTAGTTGAACCCCCGGATTGGGCCGGGGAAAACGTCGGGCCGAGATCTGGGCTTATAGACTAGAACATGCATAAAAAACAGCACGATTCACATCAACACCCTCGTGCATACTATCGTCAACGCTCATCAACATTCATCAACGACCATCAACATTCATCAACGACCATCAACGACCATCAACGACCATCAACGACCATCAACGACCATCAACGACCATCAACGACCATCAACGACCATCAACGACCATCAACGACCATCAACGACCATCAACGACCATCAACGACCATCAACGGCCATCAACGACCATCAACGACCATCAACGACCATCAACGACCATCAACGACCATCAACGACCATCAACGACCATCAACGACCATCAACGACCATCAACGACCATCAACGACCATCAACGACCATCAACGGCCATCAACGACCATCAACGACCATCACCGACCATCACCGCTCATCAACACATCTGCGACCCACCAAAATATTTACCGTTTTGTTCGCTCTACCCCTGATGGCAGATACATTCTATTGCGACGGGAAGACTAGCCGACCGCAAACCATGAAGACAGGAGGGTTGGAAATTCGACACTCGATAACGAAGGTTGAATCTTGAATTTACGATAGTGATGTTGGTTTGCTTCTATCTAGGGCTCATTTTATTTCTCCAATGATGATTTTGAAATACAAAATACATCATCAAGATGGTGCGCAGTTCTTTGCTTCTTCGAGTACTCTTGATACTCGAATACTGGTCCCTAGCACCACGAAGAGGTGCCTGCACGGGCTAGAGGGGCTTCTTGTCACAGATGTCCCTGCGGAGACTCTTGGTGTCGCATATGTCCCTGCGGAGACTCTTGATGTCGCAGATGTCCCTGCGGAGTTCACTTGGTAACGCAGTGCCCCCTGCGAGGATTATTGTTGACGCAGACCTATCCTGCGAAGCACATTTGATGACGCAGAGCCCGTCCTGCGAGGCACACTTAATAACGCAGAGCCCGTCCTGCGAGGCACCTTCTTACACTCGCGGGGCTCATGGCAGCGACAGCCGTGGTCACGGAAGCTCTCAAGCCCGCAGGCAAAAGAGGGACACCATGACACATCGGAGTGTGAGGACCCAAGCCCTGATTTTTTTGGGCTGGGAATCTGGCCCCTTTCATATCTTTTCGCCTACGTCTCGACCAAGGAACCAGTTGCGCAGTTGCTAGCGAGAATCACTGTCTCGTTATTGGCGTTGAAGACATATGAACATCGCTGAAATGGTTTTGGGAGACCTTGTGGCCTACAGATTTAATTTTCGACCTGGATTCATCGCTTTCAAAAACTTGCGTTGAGTGTGGTGAACCACTTTCATCGACTGTTGAAAAGACAGTGATACCGCAAGAATATGATTCTCACATATCATTGAATTTGCAATTAAATCGCTCAACGCGGTGGCAGACTACTCTGCCCGTTTTGACCACGGTCACTAGCCATGGTCGCCCTCTCTTTCATGAGGATTGTAGTGCTTCAACAGATGCCGCAACAATGGGTTGGAGAGTGGCAGACAGTGACATTCGATTATACCGGCTGTTGGCCATAGGACGTACCCCCATTGATCCCTCTACAATCCACTTTGCCTAGCCTTGCGCTAACTGCACCTTTCTATGTTGCTCGCGGCCAACTGATGTTGCCTCCACTGATACTTCTGCTACCGGTCGGTACAGACACTATGGACATACTAACCCAGGGTATTGGTTTTTTCCTTGACGGATAATTAGAAGTCTAGAATATGTTGGGAAGCCCAGAATAGAAACCCGAGTCCAGTTTCCAGGACAATGAAGTGAGTTATTTCAGCTACCATGCATGGGTCACGATTTAGGTTCTCATGATCGCCACCTCCTCGTAAGATTGCAACGCTACTTTCACATTGATGAAGCACTTTGTTGACGCAGGCCCTAGGCTGCGAGGCACAATTGTTCACGACAGAGCTTATCCTGCGGAGAACTTGTTAACGCTGCGGTCTCCTGCGGAGCACTCGTCCTTACGTTGCTGGCCTCAGGTCAGCAACAGCCGTCGTCACGGAAGCCTCTGGCCGGTAGACCAGAGGGGACACACCGTGACCGCGGTGTGTGAAGAAAAAAGTTGGGTCGGGGGAGGAGGCCGATTTCATAGGGGCAGCTACGTTGTGCGTAGGCGCCAGGGGTGCAAGTCCTTCAACGAGAAAGAAGAGTTCGGGGAGAACGCTCTGGTTCGAGGTGATCCTTCATGGCCGCCGTTCCATGAGGGTTGAAATACCTGCTATGCGTGGTTCGCCGTGTTCACATTGCGGTAAAAGATGGTGGTGTATCTCCGTGGCGGTAGCAGGTATTCAAAAAAAGTTTATGGGATGAGTGTTGATGGTGAGTGTTGATGGTGAGTATAGCTGCAGACCAAAACTAGAGCACGACATCACCGTAACGCCATTCGGAGGCTCCATATATTCGTGACCGACTTTAGCTTTCGACACTTCCCACACCTAGCTTCTTCTCTCGCTATTCACTGTCTTCCCAATGACAAGCTAGCGAGCTTCAATCTCAATTTCCTATTGTGCATACAGCCTAGGTTTTACTCGCAAACTTGAGCCATTCCTGCTCCATCTCCTGCCTCTTGCGAACTTTACTCAACGATATCGCTCTTGCCAATCGTTTTTCTTTTTCAACCCAACAACCTCTTCCAAATGACACCACCGGACAAGTCGTCTACTGAGAGCCGCATGCACACCCTGCTTGCGGACTTCCAAAAAGGATTGAGACCCCCGACAGAGCCAGAGTCTCTGCGGAGCCCACAGTGTCATCTCAGAAGATACCTCGCTCGATACTTAAGAACCATGAGCGTACTTCGCCCCGCCGAGATAGACCTGAAGATAGACCACGCAAAAGAGTGCGATTCGAGCCAGCTTCAGGAGGCCCGTTGAAGGAATCCGTGCTATCCAGCGCGCACGCGCCGGAAAAGTCCATAGCTAGCTGGTCAGTTTCCTTTTTCGTTGCCCCCCCCCAACATCAGCATTCCTGTCCTCTTGCTAATTTATTACGCAGGCCGAGCAGGCGACAAAGGTGTGTTACTTAGCAATCATGAAGGCTCACTTCAAACGCGACAGCTTGTTGGCGGTAGGACTGATACGTACAAACAATAGGTCACTTCGCAAAAAATTTAAACCAGACGAACGACAAAGTCGTCGCAACGGAGGAAATTTCCCTCAAAGTATGAAGAACAAAGATCATATTGAGGTCCTCGGAACGGAAGCCAAGAGCCTCAAAAGGGAATTGGAAACGATGCGCTCCTGCAGATCGGATGCTCGCAGCAGCGAACAAGACAGATAGTTCGACCATGATCACACAGATATCTATAAGGTCCCACCCGAAGTGGGTACGTCCAGTTACCGTCATTCAATTCCCTGCTTTCCATCTTCGGGATCGCCCTTGCAATCCACCCAAGATGCCTGCGAGAAGACCGCAAGCATCGACTTTACTACGTCTGGACTCAGCTCGTCGCCGGCTTGATCGTTCTCTCCTTGGAAGGCTATCTTGACAGCCACGTTCACAGGTTTCATCCATCATTTGGGTTATTTGCCAGTGAGGGCCATTTTCCATACTACAAGATTATGTATTATGGAGCCGTTGGCCAGGCGGCTTTCGGAGTTTTATCGGTCATTATGTCTCTTGTGCCTTTTGCCATATGCGCCTTACGCGGACACTTGCAGCAGAGTGCGCACACGGACCCACGAAACAGGCACAGAGGGTTCCATCGACCTCCTAAAGTAGGGGTGAGGAATTAGTCAACCGGATTTACGAAAAAAAGGCAGTCGCAGAATTTGATGATGATTTCGAAAAATGAGGGAGGTGGAGTCCAAAACCATTAGAGAGGCGGTAAAGAAATGGACTCTACTGCAGAGTTGGTGAGATAATTTACCAATTGAATTTCTTGATTGAAACCAAAGCATGTTCATCGCTTGATCTGACTAGCTAACTAATCGTGGCCAATATTGGAGCAGTATGCTGGGTGGCTTGATGTAGCAAGCAGGTGATGGTTGACGATCTGCTCTGCGTAAATAACCATCAACCTTGGTGGCCGTCAAGATTTCAAAAGCCGACCAGAGAATAATGTGAGCTGCCCAGGGATCACATAGACCCAGGAAATCGTACGTAACTTGTAGACTCACCATTCCCACCCTCACAAAATCAGTCACGCCCCTGTTGACAGCTCTATCGGCCCTGGGAATGCAAATATTGGCTCTGGGAGCTCTCTTGCTCCCGGGGGCTTGAGTGCGGTTTCTGGGGGCATATGCGCCGCTCCTAGAAGCCATATAGCCCTCCAGGAAGCCTAACGGAGCTTCTGGAGCTTAATGCCCTCCCCTCGGGGAACCAAAGTCATGTTCCTGTTGACAGTTTCATCACCTCCTGAAACCTCAAGTGCGGTTCCTGGGGCTATGGCCAAGCCTTTCCGGGAGTAATCGAATGACGCAGATTTGTGCGCAGGTCTGGTGAAGGTGTCTTGTGAGGGCTTTCCGCGACCCCAGAGGGCATAATATTGACTCTAGGATCCAGAAGTAGGGTCCAAGGAGCGCGACAGCTCCTAGATCCAGCCAATGTGTTCCCAAAACTAGTTCGTATTCAATCAGGATCGTATAGTGGAGATCCCAGGGGTAGAACTCGGTATCCTGGAAACAGGAAGTGGGCCCTGGAGCTAAAGAGGAGTTCCCAAAGAATAAACACCTCCTAGAATTGCTTTTGGCGTTTCCAGGATCAATGTATTAGTTCCAAGAGTCAGATTAAAAATCATTGTAGATTTATATAGATGAGCTGGTTTTAATACGTCGTGAGGCAGTATGGAAGAATTGTCGAGACTCGCCTGCCGACCTGCGAGCTGTGTTTTCTGCCAACGCGGTCCGCCTTAGCGCTCCACAAGGCTCAGCTGCTGAATATTCCTCGGGCGCGCTAGTAACATCTCGACCCTCTTTTGTTGACACAATTGCCCCGCCGGTCTAGCTGACTAATCGACTGCATCACGCGACGTGATAAATTACGTCATGAACGTTAACTCTGATAATCTTGAGTATACTTGTTCAGATCCAGTCCCATCGCAGGCTTGGTAAATCATCTGAAAATACAGTACTAATATTTCAGAATGCATTCAGGAGGACCAGATTCCGAAGTAGGTGTCATCCTTCCTGAATCTACGACGCTAATGATCTTCTTAGCCATTGTCTAAATCCGAGAACCGTATCCTCAAAAAGTACGGAAAGCTGCCGCGTGGAGGCTTAGTTGCTCAAAAGTCCAAGGTACTCAAAACACAGTTTCTTATGACGCACGCTAACTGACCACTGACAGGAACGGACATACTTTGACTCTGGCGATTTCGCTCTTTCTGCTGCTGATCGCGAGACTGACAACGGCGCTATCCAAACGGGCAAAGCCCATCCTAATCGGGAAAGCATTTCGCACCCTTACGCCCCTAACCCGGCCTCTAGTAACGTTGACGAATATGCCAACGAAGACGTACGTAGGAAAAGTGCGAGTACTGAAGAGAGTCCTCTCCTTCAACAAACAGACACTAAAGACGAACCGACAAACATGGAGGGACAGGAAGATCATATCTCTCACGAACGTTAGGTCCGAATTGTCACATTGACATTAAACACAGATTATATGTCATTCAGTAGGACAGTACGAGTAGTACGATAGCTCTTCTATTTAACAAGTTACGGAATACATTACGGTCTTATGGGTTCGAGAAACTATCAAAGAGCGTAGGTGGTGACAAAGGATTTCCGAAGCACTGTACAGGTGTACACATTGGGAGCAAGTTGTGTTGTAGCTCGGAGGTATGGATTGACTTTTTATTTCAGAGGGATACATGAGCCTATGTATACAACGGTGAGCCAAGTTGATTTCCAATCAACTTGGTCGTCTGTATAGACACTTCGGAGCTAATTCCGACGGGTGCGGCTTGGTTCCTGATCTGCACCAGCTTCACATTACAACAATTTTATCTTCTATCTTATTCAGCCGTCTCAGGGCAGCTGCTATACTTAGCAATTGCCAATAGATTATTCACACCTGACTGAACAGGCCTGGCAGTAGCAGTAACACCACCGCGACTGCTGGAACACCCGCGGCCTCTGCCAGCAGCAGCAGCATTCACGGCTATTGGCGGCGGTACGAACCATATCGTCCGTAATAATGATTCGAGCTGGGTAACTGTCCCATTTTCGCTCCTGAAATTGGAGGAAAGAAAGAAGATAACTCGGGCGCATTGCGGATTCGAGCTAAGCGCCTTCCCTCCATTTCCTTCATTCATTCTTCATATCCCAAACCTCGACCATGGCGAGCACTATTCCAGAGAGATTGAGATCCGCCGACATTGGGCGCTTTCCTATCAGCGCAGCCCAGATCGAGAAGGTCAAGCCCGTAGTTGCCTACTGGTGTGAGTCTTAATACTCCCCGCAGAGCCCGCAATGGACGGTTGGAGCTGACTGGATCGCTAATGATATAGGTAATTTTCATATTGTGAACCATATCATTAAATGGGGACTCCATAATTCAAAAGATAGAATCAAAATCTACACGACCAACCTGGTGGATAAACTAGAGCAGGTTCGCCGAGTTCCCCGTCTGATCCCCTCCCCGATCTTTGCGCATCAACACAATGACTGACGATGATGCTGTGGAATAGTTCAAAGGAGAGCATTCTGACGATGAAACAGTGATGGATAGCATCGCGGCGAGTGCGCTGATCGAGCACTTTGGTTTGGAAGTCTTCACTCGCGCCGAGGCTGCCATGAGCGCAGACAAGGTCACGAAGTGAGCTCTCGGCTTTCGCCCATGGTCACCGAGAAGCCTCCCCGCTGATTTGAATTTAGGCAACCCGCAGATACATTCCAGGCAGCGGCTGTATTCCTCGAACTATATCAAATTTGGGGCGCCCTCGACCTACAAATTTCGGGGAGGATCAAGTTCGCCAAGTATCATGCAGTCCGATTTGTGAAGGCGATAAAGAATGGCGAAGATCCCAATTCGTCGAATCCTGTGCCAAAAGATGAAGAGCAAAAATCCATCACTGCTCAGGAGGTTCAAGCATTCGATGAGTCGCTAGCAGAACAGGCCTATCGACCCACACAGCCGCCAACCGAGGTACTACCGGAAGAACCCGACCATCTCAGACGACCGCTAGCTCAGCAATCATCTCACGACGAGCCGCTTCACTCATTCCGAGCTTCATCACTTCAGTGGCCGCTTAAATCCTCGACGTCTGGGATCCCTTCTATTGCCCGCAATGCCCCTGGTTCTCCTGGGCGAACAATGGACATCGACCAGCCGCAACCAGGCGGCTTGGAGCTTCCCTCAACTCCGGGAACAATCGGCGGATCGTCATTGGTGCCGAATCTACCAGATATCGCTGGAACCTCGACCTTCGGCGAAGCCAATGCCTCGAACCATTTAAATACCTTCCACTCCTTCCTTCCACCAACCGCTAACTCGCCAGTCACCGCGCCGGACCCACCTTTCTTCTATGGCCCATCGAGTACTAGCGCCCATATTCCGCATCCCGCAGCTTTACCGTCCAGAACGCCTCCCGTTACACGCGCACCTGTGGCTTCTGTGCCTACCATAAAACAATGCCAACCGCCACCCTTGCTCGAGGACCAGTCTATCTCCCTAGCACAGAAACATGTCCACTGGGCGCTCTCTGCGTTGGAGTTCGAGGACGTCTTCACGGCAGTGAAAGAGTTGAAGAACTCTCTGAGATACCTCGGTGCAGGGTGATCATATTTCTCTTCTACCAATGCTCCAATTCTTTGTTCTTGCACGAATATAACTGCCTCATATTGATCTCGATGGCGTTGATATTGCCATTTGTCCTCATCCTTGTAGTCGGATTGTTGACTCTCCCTGTCCGGAATTTTATCTCCCCTTTTCCGTCGAAGTGTCTCTTACACGTTTTAGTTACCTTAGAGTTTAAGTGCAGAGCAGCCTCTTAGAGCTTGAAACTCACCAGTTGGATATCCCCCACTTGCTCGTCTACCTTACCCCCCACACTTTCTCCTGCTTGTGTTTTTTCCATGTTCCTATCCTTCTCTCGGGTTTCATATTCTCTATAATAATTATTTCGGCTTTTCTCCCTATGTATCTGCCAGGTCCCCTTTTGGTAACCACGTGTATGATATCATCTGTCCATTTCTTCCGTCGAGGATGACAGAAAAAAACATGTAAAGACATCCCTCCAACCACTGCGAGTCCCAGACCTGTCTTCGCTCTGAGGTTTCATGTCCATCCACGGCGGGATGTCGCTCCCCGGCCCATCGTTGTGAGCATGCATCTAACCCAGGCGAAGATGAAGAGCTCTCATGCACACTCTGTTGTTCAGTGTTTATGTGTAAATATAGTGTTGCTAAAAGGAAACTGCCGAGCTTTAAGTTATGAGAAATCCTTTCATATCTTTGATACGATATCCTCTGTATATTGACACTTTCCCAAATTCCCTGGGAGTCATACGTTAGTTAATGCCCGAGGATATTTAATCAGACCCTGGTATCATCGCAAATCTGGCCAATGATGAGACGTAGCACATCATCATTTCTACACAGTCTGGAGATAGGCATGGTCTTAATCCGTGACATATTTGGCAAGCAGATATCCGACCTACGGAGTAAACTATCCTGCAATGCAGACTTGCTATCTAAATAGCGGCACTACCTATTTGCAGCTTTATTTCCGACTGGTAGAATAGCATCCCATTTGTCATCCGCAACTACGGACACATTGAATCATTGACGTCATAATGATCTACGTGACATCTACATACCAGTCAGCTGATCGACAGAGCTTCATCTATGTCAAAGCCATCATCTCGTATTTTAAATGGAGATGTCTAGAATCGCAGAAGCCAGCTACTTTACTCACTTCAGTTAATACCTTCAACAACCATGTTTTTTGATGCTGTAATTCGACCCTGAGTTGCGAGACCTTTTTCTGGCGTCAGGATCAGTCATATTTTAAGGGTTTCCTATCACGAAGTACCCCAAACCGGTTCTACAAACGAAACTCCTCCCATCTCTGTTGCTGCATCATTCCCTGATGATTTTGAATCATCACCTTTGGCCTCGGACGTGTCCAAAAAGAGCGAAAGAATCTCTAAATGGGATGAAAGTCTAGCTACTTTGAGTGAGGCTGCTGTATTTACCCCCTTCCGCATTAACTGTCAATCACCCGGAAAATCATTGGTCGAATTATCCTTGATAGAAGGATCTTCCACTGAGACATTGTGATTTCCAGATTAGGGCTGATCGAGATGATATTAAGCTGAACACACAGCCTCGAGTTATGGATACCAAGACCCCATTAACTGAAAAAAGGGAGCCTGAACTGGATGAAAAGTGATTGTGCAACAATCTTTTGTCGGGTTTCCGGATACATAATATCTCAAAGTATCTGTGCCGCAGCCTTAGGGCAAGAGCCTGTCAACCTCGTCATCTTCAACATTACTATTTGTCGACGGTCGATGGTCGGTAAGGTCTCGTACGTGGCAATGGATTATCACTAAACAGCTGTTCCTCTAAATACATCCGTCCGTCTGTTATATACATACTCAGACTCAGGGCTTGCTTCTTAGTAAGCTTCTCTTGTGGATCCTGTCCAAAACGGGCTTAGTGGTAAACTACCACTGACACTATTTGTCTCGCTGATTTTCGTCGAAGCTATTCTAAAATCCAGACTGAAACGAACTCGATTATTCAGCAATAGGTCTAGGCGAGTCCCTGGGCACATCCTCATCGCACTACTCATGCATTGTGGTTAGACCTGTATCTATATCACTGGAAGGTGACCCACACAATTCCATAAAATACAACCAATATACACATTCTCCAAGAAATAGTAAGTTGGTAAAAATATGTACCTGGCATTTACATGCAATAGTAAAACCTCTACCAAAGTAGATAAAAAGAAAGCAAAAAAATTTGAAAGTAGTGCCCACATGATAGACCGTCTAATATTCAATTGAAGTCTGGAGTTCGCAAAAAGAAAATCATCAACTTGAAAAAGTGAGACGAAGTTTATAGATACTCCAATAGAAGACGTTCCCTCGCTGGAGCTGTAGAGACGGAATACCCGCTACAATCAATTAATATGCACAAAACCGCCAACAAAGGCATTTAAAAAGGCGAATGAGATTCTGGGGTAGATTGGTTGACTGGGCCGAAGGTTCGAAGTAGAGATAAATACAGGCACTGGAAGGGAAAGCACATGCGACCCTCATCATTGGGTGACAAATAGTTGTGCCTCCGGCTTGGAAATCCGACTTCTAATTTGACAGCCTGCAATGGCCGAAAAAAAGATGAAAAAATGGCATGGAACCCAATTGAAGCTCCAGTGGAGGTGGAGGGAGCCAAGACCAAGGTATGTTTGTCATGTTGCATTTCCACATTTTTGTGCCTGAGTTAAGCCGAATATACGGCGTAACTACAGCGAACTCTCACAAAGGTGATTACTTCGGTATTTATGCGGTCTGGCCTAGATATTAATTCATTGTTGATCTCCATTGATCTCTACTATCCCGCACATTTCTATAAGCTCGTCACCTTACTTCATGTAATTCACAGCATCCTGTTGAATGAAACAAGAAATCTCCAAATAGGCAAGGCAACAAAAGATTTTAGAGAAGAAGAAAAGAGATGTGAATGTCTCTGCTGGACACGAATGTTGTTGACCCACGTCTCTGCGGGCTGGCCGAACTGCATATGTATAGAACATGACCCACCGAGCCCCAAGCATATTACCGTAGTGCGCGATGACTTGGCCTTGAAGTGATCCGAAGTCATCAAAGAAATGTGAAAGTTGAAAGTCTCATCCCCAGCCCGATTCTCTGCCGTTCTGTTATGAATTATTTCATGAATTGGGATTGCCCATGGAGAACGGAGTAGATGGCGACGTGACCGCCATTTCACATTCGATTGTAAGTTAAATGTCATGAAAAATAAAGCTTCTATGAACTTGCTTTCAATAGTTCGGGGAGCTGCAAGAACTTGCGCAACAGAAGGAGCCGAGACAACTATAAATACTTCCTCTTTCCCCGGCAATTTGCTCTACAATTTCCTGACTCTGCAAAGTCGAGCCGGCTTGTGTCTAAGTCACTTGATAAGTCCCCTCCCATTGACCCAGTACTGAATATTTTACTGTATTGACATTTATAAATTACTTCGTTGACCAGCAAGCCAGCCAGCTCCTGTGAGAGACTTGATTTCAGATGCACTTTTATTCAAATCAGCCGATCAAAGATACAATTTTCGGGCCAGCAGTTACAGTGTCTACGCAAAGATATCTCCGCTATAGCAGACACTGAGCTGATCTACTGTACAGACTATGTGTGTATATTCAAAACAATGCGCGAACATCCCTGTCGCAGGTATGTGACTTTTAGCCTGACCTGTCTGAATTCTACTCATCCCGAGGAGGATGCGATATCAATAGAACTAAGGACATTCTACAGCTCTTTGCCGTGTCTTCATCTTAGATCCACAAAACGTTTGAATCATGAGATGCATCTCGAAACCAAAGAGAATTGATGACAGTGAAGCATTGACATTGCACCAGGGCCCGAAGGATACAGCATCCCTGTTAGTACTGTACACAAAGCCATGGCTCAAAATGTTTTAGTTTAGAGGTATGAATCGACTTGTTATTCGGAGGGATACATGAGCCTATGTACAGCAATGAGGCAAGTTGATTGGAAATCAACTTTATCGTCCGTATAGACGCCTAGGAGTAAATTCTGACGATGCGACTTGGTTCCGGATCTGCACCAGCTTCATATCACAGCAAGTAGCACCTTTGCCGGCCGGGTAGGTACATCATACTCGTACTGCGACTGCCAGGCGCCTGAGGTGTCGTGCTTCTTGCAATCTTTCTGGGGTGGATCTTACACATTGGCCAACTCTGGCGGTGGCCGCTCTGGCAAAGATGCCAACACTCTCGAAAGTATTCACGCCTTTGATCCTGAGGCTGGCTGCGACGACACGACCCTCCATCCTTGCTCGGTCTGAGCATTGGCGAATCACAGGCTTTGAACTGACTCTTTTCGAGAGGTTAGCACTGTCAACTCGGGAATCACAGCAGGTAAGGCGGTCTCGGTTGGTCGTTACTCTGAGGACTCTCACTTAAATGGTGACCCTTGGTAAATAGACTATGCCCCTGCAACTGAGCAACTCTACGATGCTATCTACACTTGGAATCATATTGGCTCTTTGACTATCACTTTGGTTTCGTTGAAACTCTTCAAGTATTAGTACAGTTCTGCCGCTACTGGTACCTACTCCGCATCTAGCGCTACATACTCCTCCATTGTCAGTGCGGTCAACACTTACAATGATGGCTACTTCAGCATTGTGGTATGTTCTTCGGAGCTCACAATCAACCGCGATGCTATTTTCTGTTTAGGAAACCTGCGTTTTGACCAACAGATCTTTGTCCGAGCAATTCTGCTCGATTGGACATCTACTGCACTTACCATGTCTATGTTCAACAATTGCATTCAACTTTCGTTCGCTTACCCCGGATCCGTATCATAATGTAGCTTTGTCTTGTTTATTTTGACAGTGTACTGCTCTTCCCAATTCAGGTCATGGTGTTAGACTTTACTTCTCAAGATATGGACAGTTTGGGATACAAGATAAGGTAGAAGATAAGACTTGACCCATCAAAAAGCAAGCTTGGTGCCAACAATGAGCCGGATGTCCTGGCTGACACAATGGCCCAGTCTATTCTTTTAATCACAGTGACGAGTTGCCTGCTGGTTTTCCAGCCTGGGGGATGAAGTGACTGCTGCCAGCGATTTTCTGTTGGCGATGATCATCCTGATTTGAATCTTCTCTCTGCTCCTGCTGCTTGGTAATACCTGCGGATTTTCCAGCCTGAGGCATAAAGTGAGTGCTTGCGGCGAGGTACTCGGCATCATGGGTGCGCGGATCCGAATTTTCCTTGGGGTCAAGCTTGTTCGTATCACGTATGCTGTCATTGTGTGCAGATCCCAAACTGACTGGGTTGCCTTGATTATCTGGAAATATTTGATCAGACATGCTTAGAACAAGTGAAGAAGGAACAAAGCGACTAATACCTCTTTTGCTTGGTTTATCAGACATCGTGAAGCACGGAGCCTGGCGGAGGTGTTACAACGAAATATATTTTGATCATGATCTGTAGTACTGACTGCAAGATATATATATATCTGCTTTTGTGTACGGCAGAGCCCACGTAGTGATGGCGTCAGCCGATTCGCAGCCCAATCACATCAAGGTCAAGTTGCCGGAAACCAGTTTTAGGGAGCAGATGATTCGCCAGCTTCCCCTAGACCATCTGCCTTATTAGATCCCAAGTATTTCACAAGGTGAAAAGGTAAAGAAAACAAGGAAAAATATCATTTATGAGGCATTTATGTAACTATCAATGCCTAATTAAGGCTCATTGCATCTATGCTGCCAATGGCGTCGCTATCCAGAGCACTAAATTTGACCTGATACTCCTAGTCAGAATCTCGGGAGATACCAACATTTTGTATTGGTGGGGACCGCTAGGTCGTTATCACTATATGAGAACGATAAGAATATTTCCCCAAAAAGCAAGAATCATTTTCAAAAAATTTAATGGTCATCTCGATCCAGTGGACTTTATTCCATTATTACAACAGAGGCCTATAGACTCAATGCTGGTCAGACGTATTATTTCTGTTCGCTATGACACGGAGTCAAGTTAGCTATGACACGGAGTCAATAATATGAGCTTGATGAAGGCAAAGTTGATGTCATTCCGACATCATCGTCATAACATAAGCATGGGCGCATCCATGGTTATAGTACAGTTGCCGGTATTGTTCATGTGCCCTACGTTGCCGGGGCCAAGTCAGCCGGAATCTCCATTGAACAATTTTAGCTCTAGAATACTGGTATAGCCGGATGGCTCAACGTCTTTCTATTATAAAGGTATTGGAGATACTCAATTAACACAAATCTAGTCATATTAATGACACTCGGCCTCTGGAGCCTTCCAGAAATGAATGAAAAGAGGAGGAAGACTATGCGAATGAATTTTTATATGCTATGTCTCCCAGCAAGTAGTTCCTTGGAGCAGGACCTAAGAGTGCGGGTCGATTAGGGGTACAGGAAATCTTAGAAAAGAGAACGTTTACTCCGGAAATTATCTCGTCTACCTATTAAGATGACTCATTTTGACAACTATCTCAGAGTCTTTGAACTAGTATATTGGGGAATTTATGATCCACTTTTGTCAGACCAAGCCCAATCAAGCTTATCTCAGACACACTGGTCTCCATCAATATATATGTTTGGGAGCTGCAAAAACATAGTTAACAAACGGGATTTTGGCCGCCGGCGGCTGTTCCACAACGTAGAGAACTTGGCTTGTTCCGGACCAACTCCGAAGGTAATATATCCGATGTTGATGTAACAGACCAAAAGTCGTTGTATGAGCAGCAGATTAAGAAGCAAATGCAATGAATCTGCTGCTACAGTCGAGATACAAGACCAGTCATATGTAAACATGATTATCCCTCAGGAGTTTCCCCACCCTTTCGAATCAATTCCTCATATGCATTTGTCTTGCCTGGTTTGATTCCACCGGGGCTATGTTGAGCACTAAACCAGCATCATTAATCTTAGCACATCATTAAAGCACTTTCGGTTGCTTTCATTACTGACGCTATAGACCAGGTAGCAACATTGGTCAGGACTTTTTGCTTGTGAGCCTGGTCATCGCCAACATCTTGATCAACAACGTGTGCCTTCACCTCTTCTGAGACGTTTGGGTTGCTCAAAACACTACCATTAGAAATTCTGACATTAGCGTTGGCCATAAGACTCTCAGCATTAGTTACCAGGTAGCCTACTCACAACTTATTACCGCTCATAGGATCAAGATTATCTTTGGTTTTGAACATTTTGGGACGCTGATGGCGAGACTATTCGACAATCGACTAGTCTTAGTTATATTAAGTGATAATACCCAATATTTTTAACGTAACGTCCAATCTCTTTATAGGTTGTGATCTACATAAACCAAATGTCATGATCGTCATTGGTCCGTCATCTTTAAGCTTCAGGCGTAACACATACTCCGCCACCGACGAATTAGATGGGATCGCTAGGTTCATTCTTCAGGATTGCCTGGCCTCGGGTAATATGCAATCAACTGCAAACGTATTGTGCACCGCTATTTCCGGCGTGTAAAGACATTTCTCTTGACCTTTTACGTCGGTGACGCCCCAAACTCAAGGCCTTCAGCAAAACCTCACTAACTAATGTACCTTGGTTTTCATTAACACGGCGGATTTCTGAAGAGCAGAATATGCCGTAGACTGAAAGACCAAAGTTTATTGTACCATTCTAAGCCACTTCTTGTATTTATTAGGGATTGATGTTGTGCTCTTGAATACGCGGAGACCTAGTAAACTGGCACATGTGCAACATATGACTCATATCCTATTTGTGGCAAAAGATCGTAAGAATGGGCATATGCAGGCTCGGGAGGGTGCTATATGGAATCCTATTGGCTACCAAGGTGTTATGACCTCGTCAACATGGGTAGCTCACCTACAGGTATTTATTTAACCACAACCTTTGGACACAATCGAGCTTTAGGTCTGTGGAAATAATTCTATTTTACATACTAGTCGACTTGGCTTTCACTTTGACAATGCAGAACCTTCGCCAAGTGAGACTTGCCCAACGCGCGCAAACAAGCTCCGTGATTAGTCTTCACCGCCACTTATGCGACGTGCCCTTTTTTGGGAGGCAGGCAATCTTATTCCGAATCAGGTCCGACGGTCTAGCGACAAAGACAAAATTTCCTACAAACTGTGCCTCAGACTCACCAAACTCCGATCCAAGCAAGGAAGATTCAAAGACTAAAGAAGGTAAGATAAATCTCGCTCCTTGTCAGCAACCATGGAATATTTCCGGTCACATTGGGTTCTTCATTGACAAAGATTGGTACCCAATATTTAGAATCGCCCGACTCATCACCCGCAACAGTTGGAATAAAAAAAGGACATAAGGAATACTATAGTCTCAGAAAGCACCGTGAAGGACCAAATTCCGAGAGCGGCGAGCTGAATCCCGATTCTGAATCGAAACAAGTAAAAGGCCATAACAAGGCTACGGCTAACCGCTACGAGAAGCGTTGAAAGCATCTGATTCACCTACAGAATTTTGTCATTTTACGTCTATTACAATTTATTACAATGTGTGTGTTTCCATTCACCTTGACCCCTCGCAATCAGGCGATATTCAAGCTGCCACAACTTTATGTATTCGCACATGGTGAAAAGCATCGATGGGTGCTGAAAACTTCTTCTTTTTTTTTCTTTCTTTTTTTTGACTGGTAAGGTCTAAACACCCTTTATAGTTCATCGCTGCTCTTGTTGAGTCACCCTTATGTGGTCTCGAAATCTATCATCACATAACTGCCATTTGGAACAATCATATCACTGCCAACTTATGAAGCTCTTGGGATTAAAGCCACCTTTATATCGCCCAGCGATGAATCAAGGTTAATAAACTCATACAAATGCTGTCCACGGTCGAGGGAAAGACCCAACCTTTGGCTGTCATTTTACCATAGTTAATTCAACTGAATAATTTGTGCATTCTACTCTATAAGGCTTAAGGAGTATCATTTCCCTGCCATTGCACACGGAGGAGTATTTTCACTCCAGCAGATGTGATTGTCTTTATATCCCCATTTATGGCAGTTCTAATCCTGGTTCTTCCTAACAGCACTGTAGAATAATCTCTCCGCAAGTGAGCCTAGTTCAAGGGTATCGGAATATGATTTCAATGAAGAAAATGAGCTGGTGACATCGTCAACGCTTGAGAATTGGAGCTTAAAACTAGGCTCGTAAAATAGTATAATCGGTATATTGGTTGCACTATCTTTTATATACTCAGTAAAAAGTCAAAATTTATAGCAGCCAATTGATAGACTATGGAAATTTTTCACGGACCAGAGAGTTCCTACAGCAGACCACAGGAGGTAACAGATTCTGCAGCCACCGGTTTTCAATTGGCATCATAGTTTTGCGGTAGTAACTTTCTTAACTTTGAACCTCAAGGATTTACTCCACTTTAACCTGTGACAAAGCTGGATGTTTCACCGCCCATAGCCCGATGAAGGACCCTCAAGCAATCCCGGCTCACTGTGTGGCAGGGCGTGCATGGACCATTCGTTGCCTGACGCTTATTCTCTCGTGGAGCCCACCAGTTTAGAGACAGAAAATGGAGCCAACGACTTCAAGATTGTGACTTTAGCAAGGACATAATCAATCAACAGTTAATCACTAAGTAATGTCCAGATATTGCTTGGGCCTTTTGAACATTCAGTGCATTCACAGGCTGGCTAGTACCGAATATAACTGAGAACTTTTGCATAGGATATTCGCCCCCAAGTTCGAAAGCTTCTTGATCCATGTGCACGATGTTTGCGTTGGAAGCCTTGCTCATCAAAACCAAGCTGAAGGGGATGCGAGAGTGGACTGAAGGTATTGTTACCCTGCCTTGAAAATTGTCAGATGTCAACTTCTCCAAGTCAAGCTTTTCCGTATGATGGATTATATGCACTCACTGTGAATTTTATTTGATAATGAATTTGCCTCAGAAACAATTCCTAGACTTAGAGGGTGATAAAATGTCCCACTTGAGAAATGACGCGAAGGCGTAGGCTGGTTCTTTGTTAGATGAATGCTATTAACAAATGATACAAAAGCACCATCTGTCAGCATCTCACGTGCATGATTGACGGTAGAATTCACTACTATCGGTCTCGGTGGAGTGTTCATCATGAATTTCCATTGTTTTCCTAGCTGCAGTGTTACAGATCTCATCTAGTCCTGTCCAATGGAGTCCTCCGGGGTATAGTAAGAGTTGCTGTAGGCATTTACTTCAGAAAGAAAGTCCAATGTTTCAATGCAATGACTCCGAGACAGGAAATTGACAAATGACTCAAAGTCATATGGTGCGGCCGCATGGCAGGCGAGGGTATTGTCGAAGTTAGAACGCAAATTTAGGGAATCCTGTACTGGAGGAGATTGTGTAGTCGCCTGAGAATTGTTTGACACCGCCTCAGTCATGATATCTTGATTTTTCAGTATATCCCCAGGGGCATATGTATGAGATGGGTAGGAGGCTTAGGGAATGAATGTGCTAGAATATTGGTGATAACTTAGTTGAGAGCCAAATTTCTCTTTTCCGGTCTGCACTCGACAAATTCCCTACTTTATCAAGGTTTTCGGACATGAGATGCGCTCAGCCCACCACCGAATCATTTATTATTGTGATATGAGGTTGGTGCAGATCAGGAACCAAGCCACACCGTCGGAATTAGCTCCGAGGCGTCTATACAGACGACTTCCAATCAACTTGGCTAATTGTTGTATATATAGGTAGGGCTGTTGAAGATACGATATTCGCAAGAATCAGCAATATCGGTTATCGTATCGCCAACTCATAAACCTTGGCGATAATTATCGCATATCGTATCGGTACACTTTCAAGTCTGCCGATACAATAATTATCGGCAGATTTTCTAACCATAGTGATTCCGATCCCCTCTACCTTCTACCTCTCATATTTAACCAATAGATGTGTCCCAGCGTAGTGGTTTATCCGCCGCGTGCTCTCTTCTTTTCTTTCAAATCCAGGTCTACGTGACGATCCGAAGGTGGATAGGAGAAGGATAGTAAGCTCTACACTGTTTATGCATACATGTATATATAAGTATATATCTCTCTCTTCGGATAAGATTTCAGCCAGGAACGGCTATATGCATGCACACCTCTATGTTAACTACTTATACATATCATATAACAGCATTAAGATCCTCAATGTCTCTCCCTTGATAGAGAATCGTCGTACTCTAAGCACGTCCAGTCCTGTATTGAATAGTCTCTCAACTGAGACCTCAGAGGCTGGGATTGCTAGGTAATCCCTGGCAGCAGCAGCCATCCGAGGGTATTCCTTCTTATGCACCTTCCACCAATCACATAGCCAGTTTGATCCTCCATATCACTTGCTTCAGCCCGAGCGCCATCAAAATACCCATCAATATCAGAAAACCGAGGGCTATCTTGAGGTTGTAGTCTTTGTTACATCCGGCTACCCACTTTTTGCTTCTTGTGACTAGGCTCACATAGCTCTGTCATACCCAGTGATTTAGTGGTCCCAGGATATCTGCGGTGAAGATAATCACGGAGAGTTTGAAGAATGTTTCTCCCAGCGTTCATTTCAACTAACTCATCTAGGGGAGATCCTTTCACACGAGGATCCAAGACCAGTGCAGTGTAGTATAGATCAGAGGCATCCATAAAAGTATAGTAGTTGATATATTTCTTGATACTCCCACCAACAGCACTTGCAATATTCTCAGTAAGATCTGGAAAGTCTTCCTTGCGCTCAGCCACATCATGGAGTAAATTGTGGAGATTGTAGTATATTGGCAAAACGAGACTGATCTGTGGTCTTTTCTCTGAGAAAAACAATGTAAACTCATTGATCTCGAGAGAACATTGTGGATATGGGAAGCCGTATCCATTCATCTGATGAGAAGGAAAGGACGCTAGTCTCATAGTAGATGAACGTCTCAAGCTGTCGCCTTGACTATAGAGAGTATTAGTATTAAACATATATATAGAACGAAGGATCTTGCCTTTAACGCATCCCCTAATATGCAAAAAGGTTGAATTCCACCGCGTATCGACATCATGCTCGATAAACTTGTTGGATAAGTTCATCCGGTTGCAAGTATCGTTCCATGATTGCCTTCGTTGTGGACTCCGTTGAATACAGAGAGCCAAGATCCGTAGCTTTGCAAGTGGTTCAATAGCCTGAAATTCAAATGACTGGTGTTCTCCTTTATCAAGGTTATTACAAATAGAAGCAGCTTCTTCTGTATTACCGAGCTTCAGAGCCAGTAGAATATCCTCCACGATGAGGTTGATGATATGGGCCAAGTATCTTATATAACTATCCAAACCACAGAATAAGGAATTGGTCCCAAACGCTTTTTGCAGGTTATCGTGTAGTTCTGATGCCATTCGCTCATTGTTACTAGCATTATCCCCAGTAATTGAAAGCAGCTTACGCTCAAGATCCAGTTCAACAAGTAGAGCTAGAATAACTGCGGCCAAGTTCTCTCCACTATGGGGACCATGGAGCTCTTTGAATTCAAGGACATTCTGTCGATAGTCAAATTTTTCTGCAAACCAATGGCCAATGACACCCAGAATTGGGATATAGTTCTTGCTGGTCCATACATCAAGGGATCGAGCGATTGTTTGGCATGTAGTCGCAAGCTCTTCTTTCAACTTAGCACGTTGTAAGTTGAAGTCTTCCAGAAGACGCTGTCGAAATGTATGTCGAGAGGTAAATGGGAGTGGAATCCCTGGTATATCCTTGAATAATTGCCGAAATTCTGGGGACTCAATGACTGTGAATGGTTGTTTGCTGCTAATAACCCAACGAAAAAGATTATTCTCAAGAAGTTGTTGAGCTGCAATCTTTCCCTTCTTTCCCCAGAGACTAATGAGATTAGGCTTCGGAGCTGGATCAGGGATGGAAACAGTAGGTGGCAGACCACCATGCTTCTCTCTCCAATGATGCCGAATGTTGGTGGTGGAGCCATGCCGTTTGGAGTCCGTTGTAGACCAGTTGCATTGTGTCCCATCTTCATTGGTGATAGCACAACAAATCTCTCGATCAGGGACCTTTTTCCTTTGACTCCTCTTCTCGATCCATTCGTTCGGAATATTTCTTATCAAGAGATGTCTCCACATCCAATCATTCTTTTGGCGTGGATTCGAGCTTAGCGAACCCGTGGCTGGTTGCTGGGAGGCGGATTCTGAAGGTAAAACTTCATCGAAAGATTCAAGAAGAGAATCAATCTTGGTACCGATTGCTGATTGACTATCGCCAAAGGGTGGGGAGGATGGGACCAGCTCTTCCTGGCTAGAAATCCAGTCTTCAGGAAGTAGTCTAGACGGTTCCCACGGGTTTGCATGGTTGAAGTATGAGGGATAGAAAGGGTCAAGTTGGAACTCATTACCTATACTAGTGATGATATTTGGAAAAGTCTGCCTACTAGTCCTAATTTGGTTAATTTCGAATGACATGTGATAGTCTGCCGATAATTATCGTATTGACGAATATTCGCGAATACGATATTCGCAAATCAAAAGCCTTGCCGATATTTATCGGCAGCGATAAGATAACCGATAATATCGGCAATTGCGAATATTCGCAACAGCCCTAGTGTCAATTTACTGAGTTGTTTAACCCAGGTACCTCCTCTCCCATCGCTGGTGCAGATTGAGATTGGCAATTGTTGGATAATGGACTGTGAACTGCGTACATTCCAACAGAAGCACGACCCGGATGATAGAAAACTGATCCTCCGAGGTGTACAGCTATACGCAAGTTGCGAAGCCAGTCCTCGTTGTATCAAATAGTACAAAATAGGAGTAGCTGAAAGATAGATTTTTTCCACGGTGTACAGTACAGTATACCAACTCTCTCTCTTGTGATTTGATTCCGGGAAAATGTATCCGATACGAGCTAAACCATTCTAGGTCACCGACTTTGAGTGACGGCAGAACTGTATTGGTAACAGCCGTACACCGATCAATGCGTAATTGCCCAAGACAAACGGGCGATCGCCAAATCTAGAGTGCGTCATCACTTATTTACAGCCAAACTGTCTTTGTTCATCTTTCAATACTCTTCAGAAGGGCCACGATGAGGCTCATCTGGATAAATGCCCAGAGACAAACCTAAAACGTTATTACACTTGGCATGGACATTTACCTCGATTCTCCTCCTAAATATCGGGCCCAAGACCCTCTCATAACTGCAGCGCTGTCGGAATGCAATGAGCCGGTGATCCTGCACATCTTTCGCTACGACGACCACAATTACGGCATCTTCTCAGGGGATCGCTCTTTGAAATTGCATGCTCAATTCCATCTCCAGAGTCTCCCAAAGCCAGCGTTGATTGTTTACGAAAGTGGGACTAATGCGCCCGATCAAGAATTGGCCCGTTGTGAATTCACCGAAACCGGCCTCAATGATACTGGCTACGCAAAGAGCCCGGGTGGCAAGCTTAGTACTTTGTGGTGGGCTGATAAGCATCAAAATACACCAGTTTCTATCCAATACCGATTTACAGCGTTGGTGTATTTCCCCCACATGGAAGTGGTAGTTTGTCCAACGCCAGCGGACCCCGACTCTTCATCTGGAAACGTACATCTAGGCTGATGCTAGTGGATGAAGAGACAGATACAGTGGCTGCCATAGTCCATGATATTCCGACCGTCTCAACTAAATGCGGGACACTTCAAATCCAAGTGCCTTTCGGTGAAAACTTTTGCCTTTCAGCTTTGACCACTTTTCTTACATTTCGCGAGAAGCTACAGAAGGATTCTAAGCGTTGAATGATTATCCAAACTGTACCATCCGCTATATGAATCGTGCTTTTTTTCGCGGGTTTTCGCGGGCACTCCTGATGAATCCCACAAGGTATGTATGAGGTGATTTGGCCAAAGTGGGTGTTGCGATTGAATGAAATGTTCGACAAATTGAGCAGGTATGACCTGAGTATTTCTAATACGAATTTCGTTTCCAATCATGTGGCAGCGTAATTTTTGACTGCTACAACCTTAGTTGGCCAGGGCTGCAGCAGGTTGGAATCATGGACTGAAACTCATGTCATGAGATAGATATCCCATCTAGGTAGTCGTTCTTGAGGCACAAGTAATAAACGGCCACTACTGTGTCATTGGTGACCACAACCCTTTTCCGACCCATTTTGTTTTGATGTCCACGTTTACAGTTGCAAATGTCTCTTTTTCTAGCGGGTGTTTATGTTCGTAGGGCTATGGCATTCGGCTCTCTCGGCTGAAGATCGGATTCTGCCGCATCATCCAACCAGGACCTGCACATTTTCGGAATTATCTTTCGGGATTCAAGGCGCAAGAGTGTCGACGTATAACTGATTTTGAATACTACTGTATGTTCTCTAGATCAGCCGAGGGCAATATTGCCAAGATCCAGTCCGAAGACATCCCCCGCATCGAAGCATGGGCCAGAAAAACTGGTTCCCTTTTTGCTGCAGGAAAACAGAGCTTATTAACCTAACCCGGAAGAAGAGCTAACAACTTCAAAACCACTTAACCACGACCGGCAAGACGATCAAACCGACAACTACCACCAAGCTGCTGGGTGTGATCTTCGATCAGGAGATGCGATGGAAAGAACACGTCCAGCAGGCAATCAAGCGCGCAACTCAAGTGAATGTTGCACAGGATGGGCTACGGCACCTCCGCCCAGAACAGATGCGACAGCTTTATGGGGCCTGTGCCACCCATGTACTAGACTACGCGTCGATGTCTGGCACGACCCACTCGGAGACAAGACTCACCTACGGCATCTGCGCACGGTGCAACCGACTGCACTCATTCTTATCCTATCGGATTTCAGAACAGTAGCCACCTCAACACTAGAGGTTGAAGCATACATATTACCAACACATCTCCGACTGCGTCATCGCGCACAAAGCACAATCACCAGGCTTCACACACTCCCGAAGGATCACCCAATAAGGAGTACATTACAACGTGCCCCAAAATGAAGGAACAATATCGGGTCGTATTCTCGATTTCCACTCGCACAGGCGCTGGAGGCAATGAACCTGGAAAGGTTGCAAGATCTGGAAATGATTGACCCTAGACTACAACCACCCTGGAGAACAGAGGCATTTATAGAGATCGAGATTGAACCAGATAGAGAGATGGCAACACAGCGAGCTGAAGCCATTCAGTCTAACTCAGACATAGTCGTCTATTCGGATACATCGGGGCGTCAAGGTCATCCAGGCGCCGCTGCCGTGATGCTCAGCAACAACCTAGAGGTGTCCAAGTCCTTACAAAGCCAGGTCGGGCCTATGGATCGATGGTCTGTACACGCCGCTGAACTGATCGGGATCCTGCAAGCCATCAATCTTATCAACAAATTTTCTTTTTGAGCACCGGCGGTCAACCGGTGAGCAATTCAGGCTGGCTACTATCCTCAGTGACAGCATCTCGGCGCTACAGGCAATCCAAATCCGGGGAACAAATTGGGTCAACAGATCATCCATGCTATCTTACAAGAGGCTACAAATATCAAAACACACGGAGTTACCATTCGTCTCCAATGGATACTGGGGCATTGCGCAGCACCCGGGAACGATTCAACGGACCGTTTGGCCAAAGAGGCAGCCTTACCGGGCAAACCCACACTTTCTGCCCCTTGCTGTCCCGAGAGAAAGCTTTCGTCCGCAACAACATCCACGTCCGGTGGGAAAAGGAATGGAAGGAGTCTGGAGAAGGCGGCCACCTCCATACTATTGACAACGCACTACCTGCCAAGTACACCAGAAGGCTCTACGGGCCTTTACCGAGGCATCGAGCCTACCTACTCACACAGCTACGAACAGGACATTGCTGGCTGGCGACGTTTGCGAAGGCATTCCGCATCCAGGACAATGACCGATGCGGCTGTGGCGACCGGGAAACACTGAAACACGTCCTATGGGACTGCCCTGATCTGCGGGAGTTGCGGCGGGAATTACTGGAGAGTCTCGGCGACGCGTTTCACAACGTGTCGAGCTTGCTAGGGGGTTCTCAAGAAGAAAGGAGAGGTCAGATATATCATGCCTCGCGAGCCAAGACGATGGATGCTGTATTGGACTTCGCGGAGGCATCACAAAGATTCCGAAGTCGCGCGGCACGAGGGCAGCTTGACAACTTGAGCGGCAATTAGGCCACGGAAGGGCTTGGCGAGGCTCTAAGTTCGTTCCAGGAAGTGGTACACTTCACATGTACGTATATGGATGTATATAGTCGTGGTAGCCTGCATATCGCTTCGGCAGTTGAACCCTGGATTAAGGTACAAGTGTGATGATATTCTCAATGGAAGATCTAGTTATTTATTGTTCCAGCAGCTCATCTCCCTGCTGCCTAGCGTAGTGTCTGCCTAATAGGCAGACACTCCTGCAGATCTATATATATCACGTGACTTGGATTTAACTTCGGCGAGGGATCAGGGTAATTAAAATCTACCTACCTACACACCTACAGTATCCAAGGTCTCATACTGGCAAAATATAGTATATTGTAGCAGGAAACAATTTTATTCGTAAATTATCTCGGTCGCCAGATTGACGGTCAAGATGCACTGGGTGCTTGAAATAAACTTTGTGGGTTGGCCGGGACCAGTCGGTTTCTCGGGCCCTAAAACACAAAGCGGAGACTTTGTTTAGATCTACGATCTTGTCCTTACACAATTGAGGTTGATTTCGAAAACCATATGCTAGAGTTGGCAGACTTGCCATCGAGGTGGAGCAGATAGGGAGAGGATAGATCCGGCTCAGAGAGTATACTTTCTACGAGGAAGGTTTATGCAAGACATAGCTTCTAATACGTTCTATAGACCAGATAGAGAATGCAGCATCTTCCCACTTGACGGAGGATCAATCACTCTCTTCTCTCTTGCGAGGGCAAATGAACCGCGGATCAGATCTCGTTGCAAAAAGTTTGTGATATTCCAAATACCTCATCTGCCCCAACCGACTTCCCAAGCAACAAAGACCTGTTCTATCTGTACTCTGACGGCCCGTCAAGACTAGGTTGTGGATCGTGTCTGGACCCTTGCAAATCATTCTAATTTCTCCGGGCCACATTGAGAACCTCCGTGATCTACTGTCCCGTGGGTCGTCCCTGGGATCTGCATCGCGGAACCGTACTTGCGTCTATCTAAATTCACACGCGGTGCTTGATTGGTCCGTTGGGTGCTTTTTGTGTCCAGGGCCTCGTCAATATGACAGTAGCGTTGCAATCTTGCGATGGGGCGATCATGAGAAACCAATTCGTGAGCCACGGTCGCTGAAATAACTCACTTCATTGTCCTGGAAATTGGACTCGTGTGTCTATTCTGGGCT